TGCCGCCCCACCCTGCCCCACCGACGGGCACCTCCTGAGCTCCGATCCCCAAGACCCCAGGGACCTGAGCCGCTCCCCACGTGGGGCTGTTAGCTTCACAACACCCCCTCCAGCCCTGCTCCACCGCTTGACTTTATTTTTTTTTTAATATATTTTTTATTGACTTCAGAGAGGAAGGGAGAGGGAGAGATAGAAACATCAATGAGAGAGAATCAGGGATCGGCTGCCTGCTGCACGCCCCACACTGGGGGTGGAGCCCGCCACTTGGGCCTGTGCTCTGACCGGGAATCGAACCCTGACCTCCGGGCTCCTAGGTCGACGCTCAACCACTGAGCCACGCCGTCTGGACCACGCGGTCTGACTTGCACAACTGTTTCTAATCGTCCACACCTCCTCACGCCCTCGCCCCTGAATTCCTGACTCCCCTCCACTGCCTGCCCCGCAGCCACCCCCACAGGCAGGACTGTAAGGGGAGGATGGGGGGCAAAAAATGGCCACAGCTGGCCTCCTCGTCAGTGATTAAGCAACACGGGCCTCTAGCAGCCCAGACCCTCATCCTGGCCAACCCCGAGCCCTCTTAGTCGCCCTGAAAATGTAAGCGGCCTGAACATTCCTCGGGGAAGTGAGCTGCTGATGATAAGATGCTGCCGTTGGCAGGCGGACCAGGGCTTGCTCGCTCCTCATTCATCAGACCCTGTGGCAGGGGCGGGGCCCTCTCCATCCACCAGGCGGCGGCGGCGGGGAGAGGCCTGGCGAGCAGGTGGCCCAACTGGTTCCCACCCTGGATCGCAAGGCACCTGGCACGAAGACGCCCAGACTCTCGGAAGGGTGCTTCCTGTGACGCAGGAGGAGGGCCGGGGGCTGGGTCTTGGGCCCCTGCGGGGTGTCCTCTGTGACCCCGTCTCCCCTGCGGAACACTCACTCTTCCTTTAGGCGCTTCGCTCCCCAAGCTCCTTGCGTTGGGATCCCCACAACAGCCTGGCGTCCTTGTCTCCCGGGAAACGGCGAGAAAACTCAGCCCGAGAGACGTGGACTAACCTGCCCACCACCACACAGAGATTAAAACCGAGTCCTGGCCCTGCCCAGCCGGCGTGGCTCAGTTGTTAAATGTCGAGACCTATGAACCAGGAGGTCTCGGGGTTCAGCTCCCGGTCAGGGGGCATGCAGGAGGCAGCCGATCCATGATTCTCTCTCCTCCGTGATGTTTCTCTCTCTCCCTTCCCCTTACTCTCTGAAATCAATAAAAATATCTATATATGTATAAAAGCCTAATATGCAAATTGTCCCCTCGGTAGTTCAATCGCTCGCTATGACATGTGCTGGCCACCAGGGGGTGGCGCGGAATGAAGGAAGGCCCGGATCGGCCCTGATCGCTGGCCAGGCCTAGGGACCCTACCCTTGCACGAATTTCGTGCACCAGGCCCGACACAAACCCTGACAACAGAACTGGCTGAAACCTGGGCCATCCCAGCGTCCCCTCTGCCGGAAGCCGGTCCACCCTTGCTGCTTGACACAGTCGCTGCAGGGAAGAAACATCTGCACAGCTTATGTTTCAAGGGACCTGGCGCCTATGACATATGTTCGCTCCCCCTCTTAGCGCTATGTGTTTTAACCAGGACCAACTCCCCAAGAAAGGTTGTTTCCCCAGGGTAGGGGTTAACAGGACTAAGGAAGAGAATAAATCAGCCGAAACCGGTTTGGCTCAGTGGATAGAGCGTCGGCCTGCTGACTGAAAGGTCCCAGGTTCGATTCCGGTCAAGGGCATGTACCTGGGTTGCGGGCACATCCCTAGTGGGAGATGTGCAGGAGGCAGCTGATCGATGTTTCTCTCCCATTGATGTTTCTAATTCTCTATCCCTCTCCCTTCCTCTCTGTAAAAAATCAATAAAATATATTTTTTTAAAAAGAGAGGATAAATCAGTAAATCCCCCTAGTGTTACAGAAATACCATGTACTACTTATGAAGAACTTGGACTAAGACTGTTGGCAATAAATGTGGGACTTGTTGGGCCCACATCCCCAGGGGTCTGCCCACCAGGGAAAGCACCAAAGCCTATACCCCTGGAGACCCTCTGACACAGGGCAGTCCCAGGGCAGGCAAGCAGCGGGGCTGGGAGGACATAACCTTTACTGGGTAGGATAAACTCCTTCAGTCACTTCCTTGTAGCCTATCAGTAGAGCAGTGACCTTGAAATGGCCCTTATAATGGAACACAGAGATTAACCTAGACAGGATTAAAATCAACAGAACTAGATAGAGACAGGATTTTTGGCAAAGGTCAGATAAGAAACAAGGAACTGTAGAAGGTTACCCCAAACATACCATGATGTGATTACAGAGGCATGCTTATGGGATCAAATGGTATAAATATAGATGTAACAGGACAATAAAGAGAGAGCCCAACCATGCTGATCAACTGAACGCTGTCTCCGCGTCATTCCTTCCTCACCGACTCCGTCCACACCTTTGGGAACCCCTGGACCTGCTGGGGCTGGACCCCAACACCCCTCTGCCCGCCTTCCAGGGCAACCTGTCGGCTGAAGCTGTCACATCCTCAAACCCAGATCCTCAGCTCCGATCACCATGAACTGGGGACGCCTCCCCAGGTCGTCACCTCCTGGGAGCTGGGAAAACACCCCCCGGCCGGGGCACCAGCCAGCAAAGGGGAGGAGGCAGGGTCCCTGGGCAGCCGAGGGCCCCCGACCCCTGGGCGTCCGCTGCCTGCTCCCCTGGTCCCATCCCAGCCGGGACCCTGCTCTGGGCTGTCGGGAGCAAATACCACGGAGCTCGGGTTCCCTGTGGCCTGTCCCAGGCGGTGGGTGCAGGAAGGGAAGTGACGGAGGTGAGGGCTGGCCCAGAGGGGGAGGAAGGGGCAGCCAGGGGTGCGGCCGGCGGGGCCTCCGCACCAGGGTTAACAATCGGCCCGCCTTCCTCTTCCAGGACACGGGGTTGTGGCAGAGAGAGAAAGGAGAGAGCGAGTGGAAAGTTTTCCT